CCCTTTCCCGTAAGTTTTTCACCCTGAAAAGTGTACCTCTTCATACAGGAAAAAAATGTGCTATAACTTAAATTGCAGGCACACCATCTAAAGGGCAAAAATACAAAACATCCAGGCCATGGGGAAAAACCCGGGTCCACAGCCACTCAAGAGGGGGAGGTGTTTAGTGCCGGAAGGAAAAAAAACCACAGGGAAAAGGCAGAAATCGTCACCAAAAACCAGTCATTCCGGGGGAACCACACAATGGGGCCCCCACTCCAAACCAACAGATACAGATACTAATGCCGGAAAAAAAATCCCCCCCAGTACCACAATACCACCAATCCGAGACATTTTTCTTTGCAAATATACAGGGTCTAAAGCCAGCAACAAACAACAAAATACCTTTCATCCGGGGACTGCTTGCAGAGGCAAAGGCAATTTTCCCGCGCTTTCACTGAGACCCACATGAAGGATCACTTGGACAACAAATATGGATCCCAGTTACAACCTATACAAATGTGACAGAGTGAACAGGCAAAAGGGGGGGGGTTGGCCTGTACATTGCAGAGTCGCTTGTTTGCACAGAACTGCTAAATGCTTCAAATGATGTAGTAGAAGTTTTAGCAGTAAAGGTCGAGAACCAAAACCTAGTCATTGTGGTAGCCCTACAAGCCTCTGGATGCAACACCCCAGCAATTCCAGGAACAGTTAAAAATTGACCACTGTCTGGAAAATCTTCCAGCTCCTGCACCCAACATCTTGCTCCAGGGGGATTTCAACTTAAGGCACCTAAAATGGAGGAATATAGCAAATAATATTGTTGCAGTAATAACACTGGGAGGCAGCTCTGATGAAAACTCACACTCACATGACTTTAAATCTCTGCACAAAATTCAAATTTTAAAACCCGCAAATAAAGAGCCTACTAGACTGGAGAATACACTAGACCCCATCTTCACTAAAAATGATGACTTTAAAGAAATGTCACCATATCAAAAACAATATACTCAGATCACAACTAATTGAGGTCAGACATGTATCCGTGGGGCCCCAGACCGACATAATGAGACTAAATCACGAGGGAGCATTCACAAATTCAACTTCAGTAACAAAAACATAAAATGGGACCAAGTAAACCAAGTCCTAACTGATATAAGCTGGGAAGATATACTAAGCAACACAGACCCCAACTTATGCCTAGAACAGATTAACTTGGTGGCACTCGATGTATGCACAAGGCTTATTCCTCTAAGAAAAAGGAGGAGTAGATGTAAACTAGAAAGAGACAGGCGCTCCCTTTACAGGCGACGGAAAAGAATAACAGAGCGGCTAAAAGAGGTCAATATATCTGAAATGCGTAGGGAGACACTGGTCAGAGAAATAGCAAGCATCGAACTTAAGCTAAAGGAATCTTATAGGAGTTAGGAATCGCGGGAAGAACTAAAAGCCATAAATGAAATCGAAAGAAACCCAAAATATTTCTTCTCCTATGCCAAATCAAAGTCGAGAACAACGTCCAGTATTGGGCCCCTACTTAAACAAGATGGGTCCTACACAGATGACAGCAAGGAAATGAGTGAGCTACTCAAGTCCAATATGACTCAGTTTTTAGCAATCCGCTAACCAGACTGAGAGTCGAAGATCAAAATGAATTTTTATGAGAGAGCCAAAAAATTTGTTAACACAAGCCTATCCGATGTTATCCTGACGCCAAATGACTTCGAACAGGCATAAATGACATGCCCATGCACTCTGCCCCAGGGCCAGACTCATGGAACTCTGTGTTTATCAAGAACTGCAAGAAGCCCCTATCACGAGCCTTTTCCATCCTATGGAGAGGGAGCATGGACACGGGGGTCGTCCCACAGTTACTAAAAACAACAGACATAGCCCCACTCCACAAAGGGGGCAGTAAAGCAACAGCAAAGAACTACAGACCGATAGCACTAACATCCCATATCATAAAAATCTTTGAAAGGGTCCTAAGAAGCAAGATCACCACCCATCTAGAAACCCATCAGTTACACAACCCAGGGCAACATGGGTTTAGAACAGGTCACTCCTGTCTGTCTCAACTATTGGATCACTACGACAAGGTCCTAGATGCACTAGAAGATAAAAAGAATGCAGATGTAATATATACAGACTTTGCAAAAGCCTTCGACAAGTGTGACCATGGCGTAATAGCGCACAAAATGAGTGCTAAAGGAATAACAGGAAAAGTCGGTCAATGGATCTATAATTTCCTCACTAACAGAACACAGAGAGTAGTAGTCAACAGAGTAAAGTCCGAGGCAGCTACGGTGAAAAGCTCTGTTCCACAAGGCACAGTACTCGCTCCCATCTTGTTCCTCATCTTCATATCTGACATAGACAAGGATGTCAGCCACAGCACCGTGTCTTCCTTTGCAGATGAAAACCCAATCTGCATGACAGTGTCTTCCATTGCAGACACTGAAAGGGCTCCAGTGGACATCAACCAAATCTTTTCAGTGGGCTGCAGAAAACAATATGAAGTTCAACGATGAGAAATTTAAATTTACTCAGTTATGGTAAACACGAGGAAATTAAATCTTCATCAGAGTACAAAACAAATTCTGGCCACAAAATAGAGCGAAACACCAACGTCAAAAACCGGGTGATCATGTCGGAGGATCTCACCTTCAAGGACCATAACATTGTATCAACGCATCTGCTAGAAAAATGACAGGATGGATAATGAAAAACCTTCAAAACTAGGGAGGCCAAGCCCATGATGCCCACTTTTCCAGGTCACTTGTTCTATCTAAGCTGGAATATCGCTGCACACTAACAGCACCTTTAAAGGGCAGGTAAAATTTGGGCTGACCTAAAAATGTACAGAGAACCTTCACGGCGCGCATAACGGAGAAAAACGCCTCAATTACTGGGAGCCTTGAGGTTTCCTAAAACTGTATTCCCTGGAATGCAGGCGGGAGAGATACATGATTATATACACCTGGAAAATCCTAGAGGGACTAGTACTGAACTTGCACACGAAAAAACACTCACTCCCAAAGCAAAAAGACTTGCAACGATGCAACATCCCCCAATGAAAAGCAGGGGTGTCACTAGCACGTTAAGAGACCATACAATAAGTGTCAGGGGCCCGAGACTGTTCAACTGCCTCCCAGCATACATAAGGGGGATTACCAACAGACCCCTGGCAGTCTTCAAGCTGGCACTGGACAAGCACCTAAAGTCGGTTCCTGACCAGCCGGGCTGTGGCTCGTACGTTGGTTTGCATGCAGCCAGCAGTAACAGCCTGGTTGATCAGGCTCTGATCCACCAGGAGGCCTGGTCACAGACCAGGCAGCGGGGGCATTGACCCCCAGAACTCTCTCCAGGTAAACTCCAGGTATAATATCACATGTAGTGTAGGTTAGGTGATGTGTCAGGCATGAAAAAGATAAGAGTGTAGACATGGCCTCTGGCAATGATCTACCTGGTAAATGGTGGTAAATAACACTGGGTGTATTCTGGATCCCAATTTCAGGCCCTGGTAATCTTTGCTTTTTGTATTGTTCCAGAATAGTTTTAGAGACAGTCTGTTATAATGTACTTTTCTCTCTTTTGTGTGATGGTATTCATACGTGTAGTATAATCGCTGTTCCAGAACAGTTTTAGCGATGGGTTACTCTCAAAATTCTTTGTCTTTGTTTTGTGAAAGTTTTAGAAGCATGTATAACAGCTAATTTAAGAGAAAACAGAGGCTAGTACAGATTAGCTTTACCCATCACCAAAACTGTTCTGAAACTGCAAGATGAGAAAGACGCACGTGCAACACCTAACTACCTTTATTGTTGAGGAGTTCCGCCTACCTAGTAGGCTTCTTCATTCAGAATATAGAGGTAAGTAAGTTTATTCAGGTATAGTTACACATAAATACAATTACATATATTATCATACATTGCAGCTTATGTGAATATTATCTAGGATAACCCCCAAAAAAGTCTGGTAAAGTGAGTTATTTCCACTGGGGTCCTTGTTGTATCATATATTTAAACCTTTAAAGTTAAATCTCAGAGACAGCAGAAGTAGTAGTGATCAGTCGCTCACCATTTTTCAAAACAAACGAAGTTTTTAACTAGCCAAGCCTCTGGCAATACAGTTGTTGAACAAAGAATATTGTCATGACCATCCAACAAGCTGAATATTTCTACTACTGTTTCACCTCTTTACCACAAGTGACTCTTCCCTTTCCTGCCCATACACAGTATTATACACTCCTCAAGTATTTGATTGTGAAGTTGTGGCAACAGCTGATAAGTAATGATCGAAAAAGCCTGAAATTTCGTTCACATGTAGTGAACTCCATTTTGTGAATCAAGACTCACATAAGGAGATTCATAATACCTGAACGAAACGTCTTGTACATCTAATAATAAATGTTCTGTTTGGCTAAGTTGTTTTAAGACTTTGTCTTTTGACTTGAAAAAATGGGGAATTAGATACATGTTCAACACCTGGGTATCTTAATTTGAAAGCTACCCAGGTGTGGATTTTTGAAAGCTATCCAGGTGTGGGTGTCAAAGAAAAATACCCATCTGTTTCTGCTGGTTTGGATCAGATCTGTTTATGACTTAATATATCCCACTGTGTGGGCAAAACATAGTCAATAAAATGACATTTTACTGCATTTGTCTATTTTTCCACCCATGGGAAAGTACAGATGGGAAGTACAGTGCCTGCACTCTGAAGGAGGGGTGTTAATGTTGCAGTTTAAAAACTGTAGTGTAAAGCACCCTTCTGGCAAGACAGTGATGGAGTGAATGATGGTGAAAGTTTTTCTTTTTCGGGCCACCCTGCCTTGGTGGGAATCGGCCAGTGTGATAATAAAAAAATAATAAAAAAATATTTCAAGTTCTTCATCTTGTTGGTCGACATTTTATACCATTATTGTAATGATTTAAAAAAGCCTGAATCTGGGCTTCGGGCCTTTTTTTTTCCACATAATGTGTCTATTCATAGAGCATTTATTGTCATGGTTATGTTTACAGCCGCATGGGAGGTCCCGCTGCACCAGAGAAATGGCAAGGCAGCCTCAACGTTACTTATAATATTGGTCCAGGACTCAGAGAATCAGGCTGGTCACTAAACCTGGACGTGAATAATAACAACACAATGACCACCACATATAATGTTGTCGGTGTGATGACTGGACAAGAGGAACCAGGTAACGCAAGAGTTGCCTCGCTTGTTTTAATTTAATTAACTAATTATATATACTATACGGAAGTGCTGAGCCTGGAAAGGCATACAGAGCATGGGGGAATGTGACATAATGAGTTCCTTGAATCACTCTCTCGTGTGTAATCAAAACAAAGTGCAGGTTATGGCATTTTGTGAAGACTTTGTCCACCAGCGATTTTATCCATTCACACAGAGAACATGATCTGGGGTATTTTTCTGGCGTGTAGAGAGGAGCTGAGGTGAAAGAACGATTTCAAGAAGTCACTGTGAGTAGCCAGCCTAGTAAGTAATAATAATAATAATATATTTATTTACTACAGTTTGGAGGGATACATGTACAAGGTATACAGGCCTAGCTGAAATCAATGACATACTGCTACAGTGGACCCTCGACCAGCGATATTAATCCGTTCCTGAGAGCTCATCGGTAATCGAAATAATCGTTAATCGAGTTAATTTTCCCCATAAGAAATAATGGAAATCAAATTAATCCATTCCTGACACCCCAAAGTATTGAAAAAAAAAATTTTACCACATGAAATATTAATTTTAATACAAACTGAAGAAGACATGCACAATTACTACTATACTAAGAATAGAGTACATGACACTTACCTTTATTGAAGATCTGGTGATGATTGATGGGATGGGAGGAGGGGAGAGTGTGGACCTTCTTAGAGTTTAGAAGGGGAATCCCTTTCCATTAGGACTTGAGGTAGCAACTCTTTTTCCGGGGTTACTTCCCTTGTTCTTTTAATGCCACTAGGACCAGCTTGAGAGTCACTGGACTTCTGTTGCACAACATATCTGTCCATAGAGGCCTGTACCTCCCGTTCCTTTATGACATTTCTAAAGTGTTTCACAACATTGTCAGTGTGCAGGTTGCCAACACAGCTTGCAGTAGCTGTGTCAGGGTGATTTTCATCCATAAAGGTTTGCACTTTAAGCCACATTGCACAGATTTCCTTAATCTTAGAAGTAGGCAACTTCTTCAATTTCTCTGTCCCCTCCTCCGAAGCAGTTTCCTCAGGTCTGGCTTCATGCTGATGAAGATGATCTAGCAGCTCATCAGTGGTTAGTTCTTCATTGTCCTCCTCCACCAACTCTTCCACATCCTCCCTACTAACCTCCAACCCCAAGGACTTCCCCAGTGCCACAATGGATTCCTCAACTGGCATAGGATTTTCAGGGTTAGCCTTAAACCCTTCAAAATCCCTTTTGTGTACACATTCTGGCCACAGTTTTTTCCAAGCAGAGTTCAAGGTCCTCTTAGTCACTTCCTCCCAAGCCTTACCTATAATGTTTACACAATTGAGGATGGTAAAGTGATCTTTCCAAAACTCTCTTAGAGTCAGTTGAGTTTCTGAGGTCACTACAAAGCACCTTTCAAACATAGCTTTTGTGTACAGTTTCTTGAAGTTGGAAATGACCTGCTGGTCCATGGGCTGCAGGAGAGGAGTGGTATTAGGAGGCAAAAACTTCACCTTAATGAAGCTCATTTCCGCAGAAAGTCGCTCTGCCACGTCTGAAGAATGACCAGGAGCATTGTCTAATACCAGGAGGCACTTCAGGTCTAATTTCTTTTCAGTTAGGTAATTTTTCACAGTGGGGGCAAATGCATGGTGTAACCAGTCATAGAAAAAGTCCCTAGTGACCCATGCCTTACTGTTTGCCCTCCACAGCACACACAAATTAGCCTTGAAGACATTGTTTTTCCTGAACACTCTGGGAGTTTCAGAGTGATACACCAATAAAGGCTTAACTTTGCAATCACCACTAGCATTGGCACACATCAACAGAGTAAGCCTGTCTTTCATAGGCTTATGTCCTGGGAGTGCCTTTTCCTCTGAGTAATGTAGGTCCTCGCTTGGCATTTTCTTCCAAAACAGGCCTGTTTCGTCACAATTAAACACTTGTTCAGGTTTGAGTCCTTCACTGTCTATGTACTCCTTGAATTCACGCACATATTTTTCAGCTGCTTTGTGGTCCGAACTGGCAGCCTCACCATGCCTTATCACATTATGAATGCCACTACGCTTCTTAAATCTCTCAAACCAACCTTTGCTGGCCTTAAATTCACTCACATCACCACTAGTTGCTGGCATTTTTTTAATTAAATCGTCATGCAACTTCCTAGCCTTTTCACATATGATCGCTTGAGAGATGCTATCTCCTGCTATCCGTTTTTCATTTATCCACACCAATAAGAGTCTCTCAACATCTTCTATCACTTGCGATCTCAGTTTCAAAAACATAGTTGCACCTTTGGCAAGAACAGCTTCCTTGATTGCCGTTTTCTTGCACACAATAGTAGCGATGGTTGATTGGGGTTTACTATACAACCTGACCAGCTCGGAGACACGCACTCCACTCTCATACTTAGCAATGATCTCTTTCTTCATCTCCATAGTAATTCTCACCCTTTTTGCTGTAGGGTTGGCACTAGAAGCTTTCTTGGGGCCCATAGTGACTTATTTTGCAGGTGTAATCACTACAAAGGCTGTGATAATATGAAATGTTCCAATTGTATGTTTGGAAGCGACCGCGGTGGCTGGCTGGCTTGTAAACACTGGCACCCATGGGACAAGTGAGGTGCGCTCAGGCCAAAGTGGACGCGTCTCGAACGGAACGAATAGCGTTGGTCGGGTTTTTTAGCGCTATTTGAGGCAAAATTTTTGCATTAAAATGTATCGCTAGTCAGATTTATCGTTAATCGATGCCATCGTTGGTCGAGGGTCCACTGTATATAGAAACCCCTTTGTTATGCCGAGCATTTCGAGCAAATTAGGTCAGTGTCCCAGGATGCAACCCACACCAGTCGACTAACATTCAGGTACCCATTTTACTGATGGGTGAACATAGACAACAGGTGTAAAGAAACATGCCCAAAGTTTCTACCCTGGCTGGAAATCGAACCCAGACCCTCGCTGTGTGAAGCGAGAGCTTTAGCCACCAGAGCCCAAGTAGATTTTGAGTCATCCTGATTTAATTAAGGTTATTGGTTTTGACTCAATAATGGAGATTCCAAACAGTCTGCTACAATGGTGACTTTCTTCGATGATAACATCAACTTCTTGGCCGAGTACTCATATGTAGCTTTATAACCTAACTCTTTCACCTGACGACCTCTCAAACCTCCAAAAATATCCATATATTGTCCTCTGTGTGAATTAATAAAGATCGTGGGGATCAGACTCCTCAATAAAATACCATAACCCACATTGTATCTTATTGACAGGGATGTTTTATTTACCTTCTTCTTGATGGGATTTTTTTTTTTCAAGTGTTGGATTAGTTAATATCATGATTCATGGTTTGCTAATTGAGCTATAAACCCAGAAAAATAGAAAATATTTACTGTTTTTATATGCATGGTTTCATTCACATAGTTGGGTTTTAGACAGATACGTTGTCCTTGGCAACCACTATGATGCCTGGTTGTTTGGCGGCCTTGATCCCAACTCTGGCACAGCCGCTATGCTAGAACTCTCACGCGTCTTCACACAGCTACGCAATGAAACAGGTGAATATACCGCAAAGCTTTATTGTTAACCATAGCATTATTATGACCACCTCAAACCATTATTGCCTTCCATAGCATTATTATGACTATCATTGTACAGTGTTGAGCACTGGGAGTTAAACCAGTGTTTATATTGACCTGACATGTCTACTGCTCTCATTCACTTGCAGAGACCTCTACATTATCCATCTTTATCCATTGAAGAATTTTTTTTCATTGCAGTATTTGATTTCTCTGTGAGAATATATTGAAATATTTAAAAGGACATTAGAACACCATGGTATTTTACCAGCTCATTTCAAACATGTATTACTTAACTAATCATTCTCACTCATGTGTTGTCTAAAGTATGTGTAAATCTACTCAGTGTTCACTTCATCAATGCTACTTTAAAATTTTTTCAAACTTTCTATACCTTTTGTTGGCAAGTTATTGCCAGATCTGTGCTTCTCTCAGTCCTTTGTAAAATTATCTGATTTGAATCCACAGCTTCAAGTTCTACACTGGTTACTCTTGGCTCTTTATCTGTATCCTCTTTATATATTCCAGTACCGCAGTCAGTCATATCCCTGGGCACATTTATGCCCCATCTTTAATGTGGAGACTAGAGCTGTGCTACATAATTTATGTTGCTTGGGTAGCATGGTGATTCCTTCTTTATATTATGAGACACAGTTCTTCTCTCCATACTTATAATGAACACAAATACCGGCCTTGGTGGGAATCGGCCGGTGTGATAATAAATACATGGGAGAACTTAAGAAGTGTAATCAACACTTACTTAAGTGTAACGAACACTTGTCAGTGTTCAGTAATAGCACACATGGAGACGGAAAGACAGGAGGTTGATTGATTTGAATATTTCGACCCACTTCTGGGATCCTCTTCAGCAGATAAATAAGTGGAAGAAAAACTTGAATTTAAAGGGAAAGTTACACCTCTCACCGTGCCGGGGAGTAGGAGAGTGTCATGTGAGTGCATGGGAGGACACATGCAATGAGTGCTGGGGAGTAGGAGAGTCAGGTGAGTGCATGGAGGATGTGCATGGTGAGTGCCGGGAAGTAGGCGAGTGCATGGGAGGACGTGCATGGTGAGTGCTTGAAAGTAGGGAGTATCAGATGAGTGCATGGGAGGACATGCACAGTGAGTGCTAGGGAGTAGGGAGTGTCAGGTGAGCACATGGCAGGACGCGCTCGGTGAGTGCCGGGGAGTAGGTGAGTGTCAGGTGAGCACATGGGAGCACACGCACAGTGAGTGCCGGGGAGTACCTGGAGAGAGTTCTGGGTGTCACTGCCCCTGCGGCCCAGTCTGTGACCAGGCCTCATGGTGGATCAGGGCCTGATCAACCAGGCTGTTACTGCTGGCTGCACGCAATCCAACGTATGAACCACAGCCCGGCTGGTCAGGTACCGACTTTGGGTGCTTGTCCAGTGCCAGCTTGAAGACAGCCAGGGGTCTATTGGTAATCCCCCTTATGTGTGCTGGGAGGCAGTTGAACAGTCATGGGCTCCTGACACTTATTGTGTTGTCTCTTAACATGCTAGTAGCACCCCTGCTTTTCATTGGGGGGATGTTGCATCGTCTGCCGAGTGTTTTGCTTTCATAGGCAGTGATTTTCGTGTGCAAGTTTGGTAGTAGTCCCTCTAGGATTTTCCAGGTGTACATAATCATGTATCTCTCCTGCTTGAGTTTGGTAAGTGAGTGTCAGATGAGCACATGGGAGGACATGTACGGTGAGTGCTGGGGAGTAGGTGAGTTCATGGGAGGATGCGCACAGTGAGTGCATGGGAGGACGCTCACAGTGAGTGCCGGGGAGTTGGTGAGTGTTAGGTGAGTGCATGGGAGGGCATGCATGGTGAGTGCCACGGAGTAGGTGAGTGTCAGGTGAGTGCATGGGAGGATGCGCACGGTGAGTGCCGAGGGGTAGGGAGTGTCAAGTGAGCACATGGCAAGACATGCACATTGAGTGCTGCAACTTTTCCTCTAAATTCATGTTCTTCTTTCATTTGTGTATCTGCTGAAGAGGATCCCAGAAGTGGGTCGAAATATACAAACCAATCTACATCCTGTGTTTCTGTCTCCATGTAGGTTATTATTGAACTTACCCTCTAAATACTATATATAGAAAAGGTAGCAAGGGATGAGCGAAGAGTACAAATGTAAAATTGAAATAAATATCAAAGATATACAGTAATTAAAAGTCTTGTTTAACAATTTCTTCTCTAAAGTACATTGATTAATTAATGAGATTCTTTGTGTGTGAAACCATTCATTAAGGAATTTATACAAATATCTGTTTCACTTATAAACTCTCGAAGTTACTAGAGTGAATGATACAGTGATTTTATATCTACCAGTCAAATATTTCAACACAATTGAATATACAGTGTGTGAAAACACTGCTATAGTTTACATTTGTCTGTCTGATATGAAGATGAGGAACAGGATGGGAGTGAGTAAGATAAGATAAGATAAGATTTCGTTCGGATTTTTAACCCCGGAGGGTTAGCCACCCAGGATAACCCAAGAAAGTCAGTGCGTCATCGAGGACTGTCTAACTTATTTCCTTTGGGGGCCTTTAAATTTTGTCCCCCAGGTGGACCCCACCAGTCGACTAACAAAAGGGTACCTATTTGCTGCTAGTGAACAGGACAAAAAAAAAAGGGGTTTAAGGAAACGGCCCGAAAGTTTCCACCCCCCGGGAACGAACCCGGCCCCCTTTGGAAGGGGGCTTTCCCACAGCCCCGGGCCACCGGGAAGTATTGGGTCCTTGTGGAAATGGAGCTTTTTGCGTGAACCCCAAATAAACTTTTTGCTTACTCGATATTGGTTAAATTTTTGTGCCCCCTCCTTTTTTTCATTTTTCCTCTCTTTTTCTTTTAAAAACTTTTCTCTTTTTCCCCTTCTTTTTCCCCTGCCCCCCAAACCTTTTGGTCCTTCAATTTCTTTTTCCGGGTTAGTAACAGTTCCAGTTAAAATAATCCTTAGCTTCTTATATAGTATGTATTGATTCAGCTAGGCCTGTAGCCTTGAACAGTATTTGTAGAAAAAAAAGATATTGTATTACATTTTATTATAAAGGTTGTTGAGCGGTGGGGGCCCCCGAGGGTCCTGGTTTTTCTGTGCCGGGGACCCGGGAGTAGGGAAACAGTCGGCCTGTCGAGGAGAACTTTTTGCTAACAGTTGTCTGACAGAACTGTGGCTTATTTTAATGTTTTCATGGCATTAAAGGTGATTTTGTTATCAAACTAAACTGTGGTTTTATTGTTAAACAAAACCATTTTTATTATTATCATAAAGAAGTTATTATGTTTTTTGTCACGAAAATGTGTGGTGCATTAAATTTTATGCCATGTAGGGTCTTGTTTTTCAGTGAATTGCACCTCTCACCCCTTTCCCTTGGATCAAACTTGAATTTCTCTTTCCCCCACAGCATTGTATGAGCATTGGGTTTTGCCCCTAATGTTTGTAAAAAGTAGTACTAAAAATTAAAAAATCATATTAATAATAAAAAAATAATTATAATAATACCCCACGGGGACAGGATTTAAAAAAACTTAATTTTTTTTTGCTAGACTAAAACCACAATTTTGTTTTTAATAAAATTTATTTTCTAAATGCTTTTACATGTCAAAAATTTTCTTTTTTTCTTTCATGTCAAAAATGTTTTTTTTTTTTTGTCCAATTTTTTTTCTTTCAGTCAAAAGGTTTTTTCTTTATGCAGAATGTTTTCTTTTTCATGTCAAAAAGGTTTTTTTCATTCAAAATGTTTTTTTTTTCATTCAAAATGTTTTTTTTCATGGACAAATTCTTGCGGGAACATCCCGGGGCCACCAAGTCGAGCCTCTTCTCACTGATGTGTTTTGAGCCCGCAAGAAGGTAAAATCTTCTTCTCGCATGTTATTCATTCTTTTCTTCTGTAAAAGCTTGTTTTTTTTTCCATGAAAATACATTAAATTTTTAACATTAACATGTTCTAATTTTAGTTAATTTTAATCAGCTGGAACACAAACAGTTTTATCCTTTGAACGACCTTTCCCCGTGTTCTCACGAGAGAGATTAGGTTAGGTAAGATTTGTCAGGAAACAGGACAAGTGCTTCCTGAAGTGGGTCTTAATCATAAGAGAGTGATTATTATAACTTATTTTACCTCCCTTATAATAAGTGTACCAAACATACACAGGAACTGTACTTTCAGTTTAGTGATTATATTCATAGAAGGAACTCAACCTTGATGGATCATTCACTGCTGTACAGCAGAGATGGTGAATGAGAGGAAGATGAAAAGTTTGGTAGGGCAGGAGGTGTTGAAGGACACGCCTACCTAGTTCATTACCTTAAACTTGTCAGATTTTGAGCAGATTTTCTTGGGGGTTCTTACCTTTTACCTTTATCAGCTATCAAAAAATTTGGGGCCCCTCCCCCGGATCCATTATGTACTTCGTAAACCTCTGACCACCACCCACGGATGGTATGGGTCAACTAAACTAAATCAAGGAGGATTGATTATAGGGAAAGGACATTAACACAAGGAGTGTCGCAATTTAAAGTAACAGTTGTGCAAAACCCACATCTAAAAAACATAAATGTCACCCAAGGAAGGGGAGGTTCGGAGAGAAGGACGGGTGAATCTTTGGGTATTTTTCGAAAATCCCAGCCCCTAGGTCCCAATTTAATTTTTCCTTAAAAAATCTCAAAGTGAATATGTTTTTCCTTATACGGTTACTTTTTAAACGTGGTTCAATTTTTTTTCTCTTATTGTTTTTTTTTCCCTTTTTCAGATCGCTAATCCAGATCCACTGGAAAATTGGGAAACAGGCGCAAGAGTGTGTATGATATGGGGAGTTCGTGACCAGATCCAAAAGAGCCTGGCCTCCTTTACTGCATTTATTGGCTTTGGGAGGACTACAAGGGACCAACATAAAAATTTGGGAACCCCCATGGGTACCTTACACTCAGACCCAAAGTAGGTATTCTTTGCTCTGGCTTATTAACCATGTTTTAGTTTTTTATGCTCTTACATCTTTTTCCTCTAAAGAGTCTA